CCTCAGTCAAAATATTGTTCCCGCCTTAGCTCCGCGCGCATTTGGTTAACAAAGTACACGAGGTTCGCGGATTCGCAGGGCTTACCTTCCAGAAATGTTTTGCTCGAACGTTTCAGGGTTGTCAGGGCGCAGCAGTTGCGTTGCTTTGATGTTCAAATCGCAGGAATTGTGATCAGGCACGATTCATGATGGTCAAGACGCAACAGTCAGGTTGACTCGTGGCGTTGAATTCCTCGGAGCAGTGTGGAGTTTCACACGGTTGTCTCCCAATGGGGCACGTCCCTCAGTCTTGTATGGGGCATCTGAAGAGGGAGTCTGGATGGAGGGTGTATGCCAACTTCGTTGATGAGTCTTGGGTTTACACTGGTCCTCCTTCTCACCATCATCCTCCTCCTCTCCTATTCCTTCCTTGCCCTCCGCCCCCTTCTGCATGTTGCCGGGCAGGCATATGGGGTCATCGAGGAGCGATGGACAAGCAACAGCACAGCAAGGACAGACATCAAAATGGGAAACTGGATGGGGCAACCGATTAGAACCCGAACATAGAAGAATAACAAGAAGAAGAAGAAGAGAAATGAGGCGAGATGAGATTAGACAGGGCCCTGAAGGCCGTTCGTGGAGGCCTAGTCCAGGCCGACCTCGGTCTCCTCGGAGAGAGCCTAGGAGTCGGACAGAACGCCCTCTGCGCCCTCTGCGCAGAGGCGCCCCCCCCAGCGCTCGCACCGACGGGCGGTCGGCCCCAGGCCAAGAGCCCGAAGGGTGCACGCCCTCGACCCAGCTTCGGGGGCAGCCCCCACAGGCTGCCCCCGAAGCTGGGTAAAAAAGTACAAACCCACAGGCTCCCGCACACGGGTCGGGGAAACGTAAGACTCGGATAAGCCGGAACTCGGGCTTGCCGACTTTTTTTTGACGAGCGCGTCCTGAATTCTGACGGTACCGTTTCCGTGGGATGTCTGCAGCGGGAGCCCGCGTCAAATTTCAGATTGGGTCTCGTCATTTTTATGATGGCCCCCGTCAGGCCAACCCGAGCCCCCCGTACCCGAGTCTTGCGTCTCCCCGAACGGGGCGGGGCCCCCAGGGGCCGCCGCCGGGCCCCAGGGAGCCGCCGGGGCGAGGGGGGGGGCCAGAGGCCAGGCGCGCGCCCCCCCCCCCCCCCGGGGGGCCGCCGACGGGTCCGACGGGCCACCTCGGGCAAGCACCTCGAAGCTCTGGTGCCCCTGGCATCGCTTGGACGTGTGCATTTTTTTCTCGGCGAGAACCATCGAGGACCATCCTCGACCAAAGAGCAAAAAAAACACGCGCGAAACCGAAAAAAAACACACAAAAAATGGACGTCCGAGCGATGGCCAGTGCCTCGCCCACGAGAAAGAGGAGGGAGGGGAGCGGGAGCGAACGCCTCGGCCGCAAACGCGTGCGCCAGGCGCGCAGGAGCTTCGGCCAGCACGCCGACCGGCAGGTCCAAGGCAAGGCCCTTCCTTCACTCGGGCCGTACACGACGGCCGACGCCTCGCTCTGGGGCGTCGGAGTTGATGCTGCAACCTCGGGCCCGCACGGCCGTCATGCTGCAGTGGGTCTTAGTCTTGTGGGCCTCGGAGCCATTCGGGGAGACGGGGCCCTAACGGGAGCCCACATGTGGGCTTTGGTGTTGTCCGAAAAAGGCCCAGCACCTGGGCCGTTTGAGCAGGGTCTGAACTGTGCCCTTGCAGTCACAGTAAGCTTGGAAGGGCGCCATCGCTAACTGAGTCAACATGCGGATCGCAAAATCATCCCCGCCGCGCGCCGCCTGGCGCGGCGAGGGCTCTAGAGGCGAAGGCCCGCAGGCCGCAGCAACTACCTGACCGTGGGGCTCACACACCACTGAAGCCCAGCCAGCTCTAGCAAGCTCAGGCACACCAGGCCCGAAACAGGCCCCATCCGAGAACAGCAGACCCGCAAGGAGACCGCTGGGTGGTCAACGGTACGAGCGGACCGTCTGTTGAAGGGGGCTCGAAGCTGCACAGGGGGAGGGGATTTGGGGAAATGCTTCTCGCAAAAATTGCCCCCGCCTCGAATATTTGCTTCTTGGCACGGCGTGCGCGGCGGAGCAAACTTGGCGATACTGAACATCTCCCGCGGCCAGTCTGGGCATCCAATTCATAGCAGCGGTGCCAAATTGAGCCATCAAGATTCCCACACAGAGTGCACACAGGGCTGGCCACCAAGTTCTTTGTTTGCAAGCGGGCCTGGGGCCACCAGGAGCCAGAGAAAGCCGACCGAAGGATTCGCTAGTGCCTCTCGGGCCAGACGGTCTTCCTGGAAAATAAACGGAAGTGCGCGGCCCAAAGAAACAGGGAGCACCCAGGGCGGAGAAATGGATCGGAGCCCTCTCCAATCCGACGCGCGGCCCACCCCACGAGCTTCTCGATCAAGGCGGGCCCCACGCGGACCATGTCGATCATTGAGCCGATGTCGGTGCGATGCTCCTGCGACGACATCGGCGTCCCGCCGACCCCCCGAAGCGTCAGAGCGAACCCCACCCATGGCCTCGAGGGGGCCAGGCATCGCGCTCGCGACGCATCCAGGGACTTGCTGATGATGCGGGGCTTGGGGTTTGCTTCGCCCGCGCCTGCTAGCGGAACGCCCCCGACAAACGGATCCCATGATATGGCCGCGCAGCAGGAATCAGTCTGCAAGCCGGTACAAAAGAGTTTCAAGGGCATCCAAAACGATAGGAAGCGAATGGTGGAGCTCTTTATAAGGATTACACTTGATGGTTGCAAAATGGGAATCCAGGTGTAAATGTCCAAGCACGTTGAAATCACCGGTCATCCTTGCTTCTAGGTTGTTTGTGTTTGTGGCTGTTGGCTTACAACCAGAAATCATTTCCCACATAGAAACACAACGTTTTTGGTCCCCCCAGATTGTCTTTTGTTGTATGTGTTGTCGTTGTTTGTCTTTTTTGTTGGCCAGCCCCCCCCCCCCCTCTCCCTTCGAGCCAGGCGCAAAGGGATTCCATTTGAAGGCCACACAATAGAAATCATTGTGCAAGTATATGCAAACATATTAAAACTATTTCCTATGCAATGGGAATCAGTTTGCAGTACACCACAGAGGGATTCCCTTTTGATTGCCACTCAATCGAATCAACTTGCAAGGCTGCACACAAGTATTACACTTGTATCCTGCACCATAGGAATCAATGTGTAGAGCCCTTCAAAGGGATTGTACGTGATGGCCGCACAATAGGAATCAGTTTGTCCTAAACACTGTAAAAACATAGGTGTTCTTTGTTTCCAGATTGCATGATTTGTTTATTGGTTATAAATTTAAAAAGAACCAACTTACAAACGAAACGCAGCGTCGACGGTCCCACATATTGTCTTGTTCGTATTTTTTGTTTGTTTTCATCGGCCAGGCCCCCCCGCTCTCCCCGAGCCAGGCGCAAAGGGATTCCAGTTGTGAAGACCGCGCAGAAGGAATCAGCGTGTAACTCCGCACAAGGAGATGCTCATGCTGTACGATACACAAAGAACCAACTCATGCAGATTTGCATGCTGTGGTATCACAAACGAGGAAGGGTGATCACAGGACCTGCCCGTACCATATCATATATATATACATAGAGAGAGAGAAACTGTTTCGAAGGCCTGGCGTGATGCCCTCAAGATATGGAATCAGTGGCCTGTGGTCTCCAATTTGGTCCTCCGGATGGTCCTTCGTATGGTATCCAGTGTGGTCTCCCGCATTCTCTCCCGCAGGGTGTCCCGCATGAGATCACGCGTGTGGTCTCCCGTTTGATCTCCCGCGTGGACTCCCGCAGGCTCTCCTGTACGCTGTCCCGCATGACATCACGCGTTGTCGTCCGTATGGTCTCCCGTTTGGCCTCTCGTATGGCCTCCTGTGTGATCTCCCGCATGTACAGCACAGCAGAATCGTACGTTAGCCATTACATTGGATTGTATGCGGTATGTTCCCGCCAGTGCGACAAGTAGCAAGCGAAGCGCCTGGCCCAGCCTACGTACACCTGTGGTGGTGCGAAAGGGGGTGTCAGTTGCAAAGAAGACGGATGCAGGAGAAGGAGGAGGAGGAAGAGGAGGAGGAGGAGGACGACGACGACGAGGAGGAGGGGAAGGAGGTGGTGCGAGGGAGAGGAGCAGGTGGATGAGGATGAGGAGGAGGAGGTCCAGGGCAAGGAGCGCGAGGAGGAGGTCTGGCAGGATGATGGCCAGGAGGGTGGTGATGAGGAGGAGCGGGCGCATGTGGATGGAAAGGATGCGCCTTGGGAAGAGGAGGAGGAAGAGGAGGAGGAGAAGAAGAATCTGAAAAGCAGAAGAACCGGGAGGACAAGGAGGAGGAGAAGGAGGAAGAAGAAGAGGAGGAGGGAGCGAGGAGGAGGATCTGGACAACATAAGTAAGACGGGGAGTATGTGGAGAGGGAGGCGGCAGGTGACAGATGTGAAGGATGGGGGGAACGTGGAAAGTGGGGAGGAGATATGGAAAGAGGGGGAGAGGTGAGAGGCAGCGAGTAGGGGGGAAGGGTAGGTTTAGGAGGAGGAGGAGGAGAGGGAAGGAAGGAAGATGAGGAGTAGAAGGACGAGGGGTAGGAGAAGATGGAGCAGGGGGAGGAGGAGGAGGAGGAGGAGGAGGAGGACGGACGAGGAGGAGGAAGGAGGAAGGGAAAGCGACTATCACAAGAAACGGAGCGGGCCTCGAAGCAAGACTGACCACGGGGCGTCAGACGTTTCTGTGGGCCAGTGCCTGACATATACTGAGGGGACTGGTAGGTTGGAGTGTGGAGTTTGAAGAGCGAGTTCTATTTCGACCGAAATATATCTATATGCTTGTATGCTATATATAGAGAGAGAGAGAGAGAACAAAAAAAAGGAGAGAGAGAGAGAGAGAGAGTGAAAAAAAGGGAGAAAACAAACAAGACAGGTAGCGGAGGGGGAGAGGGAAGGGCAGAGGAGGAGGAGGAGTAGGTTGGGCAGAGGACGAGAAGAAGGAGTGGGAGCTGGAAAAGGGGAGGTACTGACACGCCGCCTCGATGTGACCATCCAGGCTTTTCTGTGGTCGCCGAAAGCCGACAAGTACAGTGGACAGATTTCGCAGGCACCTGTCTGCCTTGAACTCTTGCCGTGTCCTTCCTCATGTTGCGCCCCCCCTTCTTCATCATCGTCCGCCTCCTGATCCCCCCCATTCATCACTCTCCCCCTGCTGAGCCAGAGCCCTCTTTATGGATCCGCTGGTCATGGTCATCAGCGCCTGCTCCATGATTCTCTGCGGCACAGAAAGCACCATGATATACTTAATAGTAGCTCTCGCACCACCTCTGAATGGTACAAGCTATTTGGTCGCGTTCCATCCCTCATTTGCCTCAACCAGCGAAGCGTCTGCCCGTGCCAGCTCTATCCACATCGCTTTCTTTCGTCGCCCTCTTCCTGCAGTTCTGGCCTCGCAGCATCTTATCTTACGTGTTCATGCTACTGGCTAGCATCGCACGGCCTTTTGCCTCAGCCGCTGGTGCACCTGCTAAAGTCGGTTCTGGCAAGTGTTGCCGCCGACCCGGATCCCCAGGGCCCCTGGCTGGTGCACCTGCTAAAGTCGGTTCTGGCAAGTGCTGCCGCCGACCCGGATCCCCAGGGCCCCTGGAGGCCAAGCCAGGCTGCGCCCCCACGCGGCCGTGCCTGCTCGGGAGCGCGGCCCGCCTCGCGTGGCTGGGCAGGGGGGGAAGCCCTGCGAGGTGGGGCAGCTCGGGGGGAAGACGCAGAAGGTCACCACCCACCAAACCACCCCAACCCAACCCGAAGGTCTCGATTTGCCTTCCATTTCCAGTTGGGGGGGGGTCGGGGAACATCGAGAAAACACATATGGAACCCGTACCCCCCCCCCCCAACCCGAAATTCGGGTCTTCGGGTTGGGTTGGGGTGGTGTGGTAAGTAGTCGGAAGGGTGGCCGGAAGCGAAGATCCGTTGCGCCATCTGCGCCCAGAGCTCTCGTGGGGCTCCTCTGGCCGGGCCGGGCCCGCCTCGCGTGGCTGGGTAGCGGGGGAAGTCCTGCGAGGCGGGGCAGCTGGGGGGGCAGACGCAGAAAAGGGTGGCCGGAAGAGAAGCTCCGTGGCGCCATCTGCGCCCAGAGAGCTCTCGTGGGGCTCCTCCGGCCGGGGGCCGGGCCCCCGACCCGCCCTGCCTGGCCAGAGCCCTGCCCTCGCCCCTGGCGCTGCCCGCCGCCGCCGCCGCCGCCGCCGCCGCCGTCGTCGTCGTCGTCGTCGTCGTCGTCGTCGTCGTCGTCGTCGTCGTCGTCGTCGTCGTCGTCGTCGTCGTCGTCGTCGTCGTCGTCGTCGTCGTCGTCAGCGTCGGCGTCGTCGTCGTCGGCGTCGTCGTCGTCGACGTCCTCCGCTCGGCCCTGTCCGACTGCCCCCCCCCCCTGGTCTGCCTTGCCGCGCCCCGCCACCGCCACGGCTGTGCCCCTTGCCGTGCCAGCGCCTTGCTTACTTGCCGGCGATGCCTTCCGCCGCCGCCCATCTCGTCGGCTCTGGCCAGACCGCCCCCCCCCCCTCGGCCCTGGCAGGTCTCCGCCTGCCTCGCCGCGCACCGCCACCGCCACGATTCTGCCCCCTGCTCCCCGCCCTGCCAACGCCCTGCCCTCGGCTCCCTCCCTGGCATTGCCCGCCGCCGCCGCCGGCTTCTTCGGCTCGGCCCTGTGCGACTGCCCCGGGCCCAGGCTCGGGTGCGCACGGCCTTTTGGCTCGTCCAGGGAGGCACGTGCACCGATCCAGGGCCCAGGATGGGCATGGCCCAGGGGGTGTGCCACTTCTCGTCGCCCGCGTTCGCTTTGCCACGCCGTGAGAGGAGGGCCTCGCCGGCGACGGCGGCGGCGCCTCCGCGAGGCTGCGCCTGCTGGCGGCTCTGCCTGGCCTTGGCGCGTGACCGGCTCCGCCTGCCTCGCCGCGCACCGCCACCGCCACGACGCTGCCCCCTGCCCTCGCCCGCCTGTGGGGGGGTCCACGCGCCGGGCAACCTCTCGTGTCAGCCCCTTCGCCCTCTCCTCCCCTGCCTGCGCGTCCAAGAGGAGGAGGAGGAGGAGGAGGAGGAGGAGGAGGAGGAGGAGGGCCCGCTGACTGACCAGATGGGCGCAGATTTTTTGCCCCAGCGGGTCTTTGCGCTGTACCTTGTTCCTCCACTGCCTGGCCTTTTCCTTGATGCGCCCACCTGGGTCTAATTTGCAGGCCGCCGCGACTGAGTTGGTTATGTTACCTGCACTCTGCCATCTCTCGTTCAGAACATTGCGAGTTTCGGTGCTTAGAGTCTGGCTTACGGAGGAGGAGGAGGAGGAGGAGGAGGAGGAGGAGGAGGAGGAGGAGGAGGAGGAGGAGGAGGAGGGAGGAGGGAGGAGGAAGAGAGGAAGGAGAAGGGAGGAGGAGAGGGAGGGAGGAGGAGGAGGAGGAGGAGGAGGACGACGAGAGGGGGGAGGAGAAGGAGGACGAGGAGGGAGGAGGGGGAGGACGACGGCGAGCGGGCAAGCGAGGAGCTCGAGGAGAAAAAAGAGCCAGAGCCAGAGCCGCTCGAAGGCTATAGCCGCCGTCATGGACTGGCGAGACCACCTGGGCTCCGCCAACATAGGCAAGTGGCACATGTTCGCCACGGACCACAACATCACCGAGGCTCAGTCTCTCCCCGCTTTGCCAGCGGGGGGCGAGGCACCAGAGGGAAGAGCGAGCGCGAGGGGGAAGGGTCGAGGAGCAACGGGAGGGCGAGCGGGCGCGCGTGGTCCCGTTCCTTTTCCTCCTCCTCCTCCTCCCAATCTTGCCTCCTTCTGCTCATCCTCGTCATCCTCCGTCTGTTCCCCCTTCTCCTCCTCCTCCCCCTCCTCCTCCTCCTCCTCCTCCTCCTCCTCCTCCTCGCTGACACGGTGACTCGATGATGCGAACGGTTCTCCTGATGAAAAGTGACGCCCTCGACCCCTTCCCTCCTCCTCCTCCTCCTCCTGCTCTTCCGTCTCCTCCTCCTCCTCCTCCTCCTCCTCCTCCTCCTCCTCCCCTCCATTCCTTTTCCTTATGAATAATTCCTCCCCGTCACACCCCGAGGCCGGTCGAAAGGGCGGGCTGGGCGTTTCGTTAGAGACTTCCTCACCATTTATGACCTTGACGCTTAAACACGAAATAGTTTCGCAAATGGAGGGCGGGTGGTTTTCAAAATGTGGCTCTCGCCTCAGCGTCGCGCACATTCGATTTAATATTTTGCAAGAACTTCACGGATTGAGGGCGGCTCGTTTTCAAAATGCGTTTCTCGCATTAGCGAAGCGCACATTCGTCTTAACAATGTGCAAGAGTTTCACGGGTTGAGGGTGGTTCGTTTTCAAAATGTGGCTCTCGCCATAGCGCCGCGCACATTCGATGTAAGAATTTGCAAGAGCTTCACGGATTCAGGGCGGCTCGTTTGCAAAGCGCCGCGCACATTCGTTGTAGAAACTTGTCAGAGTTTCACGGGTTCTCATGGTCAACGTACCAGAAATGGTGTCCTGCAAGGATTCAGACTTGTGAGGGTGCAATAGTTATTTGAATCGCGGTGTTGAAGCCCGAGGAATGGTGTTCCGGCACGATTCAGGATCGTTAAGGCGCCACAGTCAAGTTGATACGTGGCGTTGGAGTCCCGAGAATGGTGTTTGGGCATGCCTCGGGGTCTTCAAAGGGTTGTCTCCCATCGAGTCAGTGCCCTCGGTGGAAATCAACCCTTGTAGGGGCCTGTGAAGAGGAAGCTCGGATGGAGGAGGATTTATTCCAACTTCGTTGATGAGTCTTGGGTTTACATTTGTCATCCTCCTCCTCCACCTCCACCTCCTCCTCCTCCTCCTCCTCCTCCCCCGTCTTCCGAATCTTCGGACTGGGTCCAAGCAGCGTTGTCACTGCTCTTTCAGGCAAGGTTGCCCCGACACGCAAGCCGTCGCGAGGCACTCGCAGGCTCTATGGTCGCGGGCAGACCTCCCCCTCCTCTTCCTCCAACTCCTCCTCGCCTCCCCTCGCTCCTATCCCCCAACCCTCCTCCACCCCCCCGCCCCCCCCCCCGCTCCTCCCCCCCCCACCCGCCCTTCCCTCCCTCCCCCTTCTTCTCCCTCCTCCCTCCTCCCCCTTCTCCTCCCACCTCCCCCTTCTCTCTCCGCTCACGCCGCCACCTCGCGCGGCCGCGGCCGCGGCCAGGCACCCACCAAGGTCTCGTCCATCACCTCCATCTCGTCCATGGCCGGGGCCCCGGCGCGCGCGGGCGTCCGCTGGCCCGCCGGCCCGCGCTGGGGCTCCGCGCTGGGAGCCCGCCCGCGCCTTCCGGGGCCCAGGCGCCTCCGCCTGCCGCTTGCTGCCTCCTCCTCCTGCCCCCTCCTGCCGCCTCCTCCTCCCTTCCTCCTCCTCCTCCTCCTCTTCCTCTTCCTCCTCCTCCTCTTCCTCCTCCTCCTCCTCCTCCTCCTCCTCCTCATCATCATCATCATCATCACATGATCATCCTCATCCTCATCCTCATCCTCATCCGCCTCCTCCTTCTCCTCCTCCTCCTCCTCCCCCCTCCTCCTCCTCCTGCTCCTCCTCCTCCGTCTACCGCATGCCCCCTCCTGTCTCCTGCTCAGGTTCCAGCTCATTCTTACCGTCGTCCTGCCTCCTACATCCACCTCCTGCCTCCTCCCCTCCCGCATTCACCTCATCCTCTTCCTGCCTCCTGCCTCCTGCCGCATCCTCATCCCACTCATTCTCCTCTTCCTCCTCCTCTTCCGCCGTCTCCTCACCCCACTCTTTCCTCCTGGATCGAAGTTTTATTTGTTTGACACCTCGCGTATTTCCACTAGCCACTTCAGAAACAGCACCGACGCTTCGCATATCCCTAGCAGTCCTTTCAGAGACGGTGCCCAGGCGAGCTGTTGGATTGTTATCCAGTATTGACCCAATACAGAGATATCTTACCGCTTGTGCGGTGCTATCTAGGTGGTGCAGTCACTGGGGTGCAATCTAGGTGTTGCAATACATGCGTCGCGAAGCAATGCTAAGCAAGGCGAAGTAATGTTCGGCAACGCAATATAAAGCAATGCAACGCAATGCAATGCAAAGCAACACGATACGATGCAAAGTGAAGCAATGCAACGCAATGCGATTGCCATGCGAAACGGTCCAGTGGCGACGGCGGCGACGAGCCAGCCAGACCGCCACTGGGTTTCAGTCACCAGCGGCGACGGGCGGCAACGAGCCGGCCGGACTGGCGACAGGCTGCTACGGGCAGCAACGAGCCAGCAGGCTTGGTTGCCTTAGAAGGCAAGCAAGCGCCCGTAAGTGTAAGCATTGTTTGGGGAAAAACGTGATTTCTTAAGCGCATTTCTGAAACGGAGATCCAACAGTGGTACCTTAGGGACCTGTGGGAGCCTCATGGGGGCCTCATGGGGAAATCTTGGGCTCTATGGAGGCGCTTTGGGGAGCCTTCGGGTCACTAGGGGCCCTCCTGGGGGCCGCGGGGGCCAGGTTAGGGTTAAGTCGGGCCTGTCCCCCTACAGTGGGGGAATTCAAAAAATGGCGTAAAAAAAAAGTGTCTGGGGATTATTTTTGAGTATTTTTGGGCATCTTTCCAACATTTTGGGGGATCGCCGCTTGGAGCGCCTCCTCCTCCTCCTCCTCCTCCTCCTCCTCCTCCTCCTCCTCCTCCTCCTCCTCCATCTTCTCCTCCTCCTCCTCCTCATCATCATTCCTCTTCCCCTTCCTCCTCCTCATTCTCCTTCTCTTCCTCCTCCTTCTCTACCTCCTTTTCCCCCTCCTCCATTCCTTGCCTCATAAATAATTTCTCCTTGTCGCACCCCGCGGCCAGTTTTCAGGGCGGGCCGGGCGTTTCGCCTGAGACTTCCTCACCATGTATGCTTCTGAAGCTTGCAAAAAAATGGCAACAAATTCAAAGATGGAGGGCGGTTCGTTTTCAAAATGCAGATTGGAGGCGAGTGGTTTTCAAAATGTGGCTCTCGCCTTAGCGCCGCGCACATTCGTTTTAAATATTTGCAAGAGATTCACGGATTGAGGGCGGCTCGTTTTCAAAATGTGGTTCTCGCCTTGGCGCCGCGCACATTCGCCTTAAAGATTCGCAAGGGTTTCACGGATTCAGGGCGGGTCGTTTTCAAAATGCGGCTCTCGCCTTAGCGCCGCGCATAGTCGGTTTGAAAAGTTATATGGTTTGCACGGAACCAGGGCGGCTCGTTTTCAAAAGGTGGTTCTCGCTTGAGCGCCGCGCACATCCGTTTCAGATACTTGCAAGAGTTTCACGGATTCCCATGATCAGCGCACCAGAACTCTGGAAGGATTCAGGATTACGCGGGCGCAACAGGTATGTTGATTCGCGGTGTTGAAATCCCAAAAATGGCTTTCTGGCACGATTCCAGATCGTCAGGACGCAGCAGTCAGGATGCTCCGTGGCGTGGAAATCCAGAGAGCCATGTTTCGGCATGCTTCAGGGTCTTCAAACGGTTGTCTTCCAACGAGGAAGTTCCCTCAATGGAAATGAACCGTTGTAGGGGCCTATGAAGAGGGAGCTTGGAGGGATCGTTAATTTCAACATCGTTGATGACTCTTGGGTTTACACTGATCCCCCTCCTCTTCCCCCTCCTCCTCCTCCACCTCCTTCTCCTCCTCCTCCTCTCTTGGGCGTTCTTGGTGTATAAGCGAAACCAGTGCTACGAATGGGTAACCATCCCAAGTGAGTACCCTTGCATCCTTGCCTCTTCGGTCCATCCTGAACCACTTTCGATGGCCAGCCCCCTCTCGAAAAGCTTCGATATGCGCATCCAAAGGGGCTTGCATCATTAACCCGCATCCTTGCTATCAGTTTTGGCTGTAGTGTTGGAGCCTTGATTGGCCGCTCTTGAGACTCGCTTGGGCCATGTTGAGGCCACGAGAGTTCGTCGGAAGTCGAAGGGCGAGGGGCCAAAACCATGACCAAACCTAGGGCGGTTCTCGGGGGTCTCCTTGGGAGGCTCCGTGGCCATTCAAGCCGTCTTGGAGCTTCTTGGAGGAATGTTGTATGCCGTCTTAGTCTATTTGGTGCCGTCTTGGAGGTCACCTTGAGCTACCTGAGGCCATTCTGGAGACGTAGTGGACCATGCTGGACGCTCCAGCTGCCCGCGAAACCCGGGTCCAATTCCCCGGAAGGGGAAGACCCCTAACAAGGCGGGCGACCCCTTCCAGTCGACCGTTGGCCATGAGACCCGCGTGTCCGCGCCTCCAAGACAGCCCACAATGCCCCCAAGGCGGCCTCGGACGACCAGACAAGACGAGGCGAGCCACCACACGATTAGACAGTACGTGGCAAGGCACGCCACGTCAGCCTCCAGGTCAGGTCGGTCAGAGATGGCCTCAAGACGTCCCGAGAGGGTTTCCGAGAGGCCAGGACATGTCAAACATCTGAGAAAAACCAGTGGCGTGCGCCGTCTCGCCATGTTGCTTCCGATGGGCTCTTGAGGCCTCGAGAGGGCCCCGAGGGAGCCCCAAGACGGGCCTGCGAGGGGCCGAAGATGACCTCAGAATACCCCAAGAGAGACCCAAGCCCGATTGAATGCCAGAAGGGCAAACAGACGCAAGCGCACTCGTGCTGTACAGGCCTCAAGAGGCTCCAGAGAGGGCCCCCAAAAGGCCCGCAGGAGGCTTCGCTGAACGGGGATGGAAGTATGCCAGCGAGGGATGGGGGGAGGAGCAAGACCCTTCCCCGAAGGGAAAGATGGGGGGTTGGAAGAACAAACGCGCCAAACCACCCAAGCCCAGAGGGGCGATGGCATTCTCGACAGGTACATGGATAGAGGGCGTGTTGTTTTCAACAGTTAGTTCTCACGCTAACGCCGCGCCTAATCGTCTTCCATTTGCAACAGCTACACGGATGAACGGCGACTCATTTTCAGAATGCATTTCGCATGCATTTTCGCTACGAGAGCTTGCAGGAACCACGCGGATAAAGGCGAGGTCGTGTTCGGAATGTTGGTCTCATTTTAGCGCCGCGTACATTCGCCTTGAATTTCAATTCCTACACGATGCAGGGTGGGTCCTGTTCAAAAGTTGGTTATCGCCTGAGGTCCCCTCCGGTTTCATCTTGCTCGCAGTAAACTCTGTAACGGTAGCACGGAAGCAAGGTGGTTATTTTTTTGATATGGGGATTCTCGCTTGAGCTGCTCGTCTAAAGATGAAAAATCTACACCGGTCACACGTATGGGTAGTTGTTCATTGCGCTTTCAATTCCGAGCTTTCCAATGTGCAAGGTTCTGATCAGATGATCTGCGCATGGCACTGATGTATACTTGAACGTGGTGATGATACATCTTAACACTTCTGGTACTCACAAGGATCATGAAGGATGGCTCTTTGTTTTCAAACAGCGGGCCCCAGCCTGAATAGACCGCCTATAGTGGCGCTTTTTTTTCAAGGCGGCGTTCTATGTAGCGAAAACGACAGCAACATGCATGGATTGATGAGGGGGGACTTGAGACGGAAGGATGTGATGCAGCAAGGTTGTTGCATCATGGCATATGTTTGTTCATAGCCCTCCTCTTCGTCATCCGTCTGCGCCTCCTGCATCATGATGATATTCCTCTGCCTCATCACCATCATTCCTCGTCCTTTCTCCGTATACCTCCTCGTCCTTCCGAAGAGGAATGAGGGAGGAAGAAACGATTGGAATGAGAACGAGAGACTTGTCTGCGTGTCAGCGCTGTCGGAACGAGGATATGGCGATGTGGTACATTAGCATGTCTGCGCAGCGTTGGCAATGCCCGAAGATGTTGGCAGAATTGAGCAGAGGTTCCCGACGGTGGCACACCGAGGTGAAGAGCGTCATCATCGGAGCCGTTCCAGACCGCGGTGGTGTTCCCGAGGGATATACAGTCGAGGATATCGCGAAGGACATAGTGAAGGCAGGATGTCATGCATGCGTCGAACCTCTGTCTCTATCTCTCTCCTCTCCCCTTTCCTCTCTCTTTCTCTCTCTCTCTCTCTCTCTCTTTCTCTCTCTCTCTCTCTCTCTCTCTCTCTCTCTCCCTCTCCATATTTTTTCGTTCCCTCCCATTATCTTTCTCATGTGTCTTTAGTCGTGAATGTCTCTTCCTCCCTCTCTCTTTATACATCTGTACGTCATTCACACACACACACACACACACTCTCACACCCACTATATATACATAAACGAATATGTATCAAAAATATGTGTACCCTCTCCCTCTCTATGTTCCTTTCTCCTCTTCTCTATCTCTCTCTCTCTCTCTCCCTCTCGCTCTCTCTATCTCTCTCTCTATCTCTCTCTCTCTCTCGACCGCCCTTGCCCCATATGTTGTTCCTTTCTGCGCACGCATTATTCGCACACGCGCATGGATACACAATCAATGTCTGGTGGCCGCGGCCGGCCGCGTTCCTGGCAATTGTTCATCCCTCGTTGTTCGTGCTTTGGACGCTGCCTTCTATTTGGGCCGCTGATGGAGCATGTCAAACCCCATCGAGCTTGCTAATCCAGAGTAGATGTAGTCGGAGGATCGCGCAGCATCGCATCGCCGATGCATCGGCGATGCGGCTGGATGTGGAGCCCGACCTTCTCCACGCCAACGTCGCCGATGCATCGCCGATGCATCGGGGATGCATCGGCGATGCGACGCGATCCTCGGACCCCATCTACTCGACCACACTTGGGAATTTACAGCTAAACAAAAGATGCGCCCGATCTTGGACTGCGCTTCTGCTGGCGTTCACGGGTAGCTTCGAACGCCAACGTTTGGATGATGTTTCCATAGTCTTTGCGACGGTCAGTCGCTCCCACAAGGCAGGAGGAGGAGTAGGAAGAAGTCTGGGAGGACCTTGCACGTACAACTGGTTATGCGAAGTGGCACGTACCATGGAGTCAACAACCCACCGTGGCAGAGCACAGAGTTGTGCAGCACCTGGCTGACAAGCATGACTGGCTCAACCACCACAGAGTCGAGCAGTACGTCGTCGAGCAGCACGTCGCTGATCAGCACGACTGAGTCGTGCACTACGGGGCTGAGCACCACGGAGTCGAGCAGCACCACGCTGGCCTGCTCGACCGAGACCAGCATCACGGGCTCAAGTACCACAAAGTCGAGCAGCACGTCGCTGACAAGCACGACCGCGACCCGCATGACAGGCTCAATTACCACAGAGTCGAGCAGCACCTCGCTGACCAGCACGACCGGCTGAAGGACCACAGAATCAAGCAGCACCACGCTGAGCAGCACGTCGCTGACTAGCACGACCGCGTCGGGCACCACGGGATCGAACACCACTGGGTCGAGCAGCATCACGCTGGCCAGCACGACCGAGACCAGTACGACCGGCTCAAGTACCACAGAGTCGAGCAGCACGTCGGTGCGCGGGATGTCGCTGACCAGCACGACCGAGTCGGGCACCACGGGATCGAGCACCACGGAGTCGTGCAGCACCACGCTAACAGGCACGACCGAGACCAGTACGACCGGATCAAGTACCACAGAGTCGTGCAGCACGTCGCTGACAAGCACGACCGAGTCGGGCACCACAGGATCGTGCACCTCAGATTCGAGAGCACCTCGCTGACCAGCACGACCGGCTCAAGTACCACAGAGTCGAGCAGTACGTCGTCGAGCAGTACCTCGCTGACCTGCACCACCGAGTCCAGCATTACGGGTTCGAGCGCCAGAGAGTCGAGCAGCACCTCGCCGACAAGCACGACCGAGACCAATACAACTGGCTCAAGTACCACAGAGTCGAGCAGTACTTCGCTGACCAGCACGACCGAGACCAGTCGACTGGCTCCAGGACCACCGTGTCGTGCAGCACCTCGCTGATCAGCACGGCTGGCTCAAGTACCACAGAGTCGAGCAGTACATCTTCGACCAACACGACTTGGACCAGTACGATCGGCTCAAGTACCATGGAGCCGAGCAGCACCCCGCTGACCAGCACGACCGAGACCAGTACGACTGGCTCCAGTACCACAGTTGAGCAATACATCGATGTTCAGCACGACCGGCTCAAGTACCACAGAGTCAAGCAGCACGTCGTTGACCAGCACGACAGCGTCGAGCACCATGGGATCAAGCAGTCCGTCGCTGCCCAGGACGTCCGAGCCGTGCACTACGGAGTCGATTGGCCTTTGGCAACAGTGGACGACCGCGTACCCCGCGCACTCAGGCCAGGTCTGCGCCGACCCTACGCTCTAACAGGCGGAGTCCTGTTAGCTTTTCCGCAACGAGTGGGCCCGCTTCCGGCACAACGTCTTCACGGTGAACATAGAATTCCAGCTTGGAGTCGAGTGGGAGACTGCACGCGCTCGCACCCGCGAGAGGATCAGGCCATGGACAACTCCGGTAAAGCTAACGGCAAAGGGTCGCGCGGAGGCAGCGACGCCAGGCGGAGAAGGACTGCGGACCCCAGAAGCGCCTTGAGCACGCGCCTGTCCCAGGCACACTCCTAGGTCCGGCAGGCTGCTCCGACGCTTCCACGCAGCCGCCCTCTCGGGCGCTGCACGTCCCTTCTGGGCCCCGCGGGGCCCGCCTCCCAGGGCCATGGGGGCGGCCCGCTACTGCGCGCGCCACTCTGCGCGCGCTACCTTGGGCGCGCCAAGCTGGGGCTGTCGGCCCGCCCCAAGCACTAGGCCCCCTCTTTGGGGCACCCCTTGCGGCCTGTCTCCCCCTGGATGACCGCCGCCTCCCCCGTCTCGCTATAGGCGGCTTGGGGATTGGGCCCCTCGTTGGCCCCTGCCACTGCTAGTGCCCTTGCGGAAGCCACTTTGCAGCTCCCTGCTGCCCCGCGCATTCGCTGCGCCTCTCTGCCCCCCGGGGAGCACAGCCGCGGGGCGGTCCTTCCGTGCCGTTTCCTCCCCACGCCCTGGTGCTTTTATTTCTCCCGGCGGGCACACTGGATTTGCTTGGGTCGCTTTCCTGCACCTGGCGCCTCCCGCTATCTCCACGGCGGCGGCTCGCCGCCCTCCCTCTGGTCGATAGCCCTCAGGGCCCCGTCTAGGACGACGTCTCCCACGGCTGTCGCGTCCACCGCCCGCTCCACGCCGTTGCGGCTGTCTGCTGCGCTGGGGCGAAACGGGCTGTGGTCCCCCACCCCTCCCTGCGGGTCTGGCTCGACGGTCTTATCCTGGCCACTCCACCCTTTTCGTGGCTGACTTCGGCGCCCCGTTACTCCTCCGCTGGGCGCCCCCGCGTGGCTGCGCGCGGCATGGCTAGGCTGCGCCATGTCCTACCGCCCCGCGGCTGTTAGCCGCGCCCCCGCAGTGCATCGGCGCGTCCCGGGCTGCACCTTCCAAGTTCATCCCTCGGCTGTTAGCCGCGCCCCATCCGCACGCCAAGTGGTTTCAGGCGCAACCTTCCCTTAAGTTCTCGCGGCGGTCAGCCGCTCCCCCTCCTGGTCAGGATTTCCCCCCCTTTTCTGCGGCTGTTAGCTGCACCCCAGAGGCGCTTCGTCACATATTGCGCTGTACCTTCCATTCCGCGGCTGCTACTAGCCGCACCCCATCGCGCATTGTCTGGCCCCAGGCGGGACCATATCCTACGCCCCTGCGGCTGTCAGCCGAACCCCATCTGCGCGCTCCGGACCTGGCTTTCTCAACGCGCCCCAGGCGCGCCATCCCCCAACATGCATCGACTGCGTGCCGCACCCCAGCTGTGCATCGTCAAGCCTTAAGCGGCACCTTCCCCACCATCCTGCGGTTGTCAGCCGCGCCCCACACTGCCAACAGACGTTCCATTAACAATCCAGCTGTTGTCAGCCGCTTCCCAGCGCGCGACAGGTCTCCGGCATTGCTACTTCCCCTTTTTCCCGCGGCTGTCAGCCGCACCCCTGCCGGGCACCGGTATGTCTCAGGCGAAACCAAACCATCTTCCCTCGCGGCTGCGAGCTGCACCCCCAGCGCCGTGGGCAGGTCTCAGGCGACGCTGGCGCGGACACCCACCTTTCTGCGGCTATCAGCCGCCCCCCCCTGAAGCTCGTCGAGTTCCCGGCGGCTGTCAGCTCCCCCTCTCCGCCGGGCGCCCCCGACCCTTGCGCCCCCCCCGGGGCGCGCGGGGCGGTGCGCTTGAGACGGCCGTGGCTACTGCTATTGGTCGGCCTTGCGGTGACACTGGAGACGGTCGTGGGCGCTACTATTCGGTCATCGGTGAGGGCGCGTCGTGCTTCTACTGGCATGTGCTGCCGCTGTCCACTCCTGGGCTCTGCAGTTACCTGGTCTCACGAGGTTTCGGGGCCCGTCGGCTGTATAGTTTTTGAGTTCATCTGTCGCTTACTTACTGCAAGCTCACGGAGTACTGCAAGATCAGGGTGGTCACCTACTCGTTCCACTTCTGAGCTGCGGCATGTGCTTTTCTTCTTTCCGTTCCTGTCGGTTTCTCTCTCCCTCGCCGTCGCGCTTTGTTTTTCGCTTTCTTCGTCGTCTATTTATCTCTTCGCGCTCTCTCTTGCCCTTCGCTTTCTTCGTCGTTTCGCCCCCTCCTGCCTCGCCCGCGGCGCCGCGTAGCCGGCTCGGCGTAGCGGCTCTTACCTTTTTCCGCGCGATTTTGCGACGCCGCGCGGGCGTCCGCTCGCGGTCGCGATCAAATATATCTTATCCAGCCCATTCAGAAACCCTGACCTTGAGAGTTGACGGGAAAAGGGGCGAAGAGACACATCTAGTTGAACAATTCGAACAACCAGGGTGAACAGAGAGATCTCTGGGAGCAAGAGGATTGCCTTGGAAAGCTTCTCGGGCCCCTCTTGGAGCTCTGTTGCGCTACCTTGGGGCTCGGCGTCCTCTTAGGGATCCTTTGAAGGGTCTTGGAGTTATCTTGGAGCTCTTCTGGGGGGTCTCGGGGCGCTCTTTGTGACCTTTTGGGGCAGGGGGCCAGGAGGAGGAGGATGAAGAAGGAGGACGAGGAGAGGGGAAAGGAGGAGAAGGACAAGGACGAGGAGGATGCCTTCGCGGATCTTGCGTTGAGAGCCTCTTGGAAGATTCTCGGGGTTATCTCGGGGTCGTCGTTGGGGCCCTCTCCTGGTCATCCCTGGGTTGTTTTGGAAGCTCTTGGGGACTTCATGGGGATCTTTGGAGAGGATTTTGGGCGATCCTGGGCCCCATCGCTCAAACATGAAGGACCTGGATTCGCGCGCCCCCCCCCCCCCAAAAAAAAAAAAAACAAAAAAAAAAAAACATTGGTGGCCTCCTGGGCTCCTCTTTGGGCGAGGCGCCTTGGGGCCATAGTAAGGCTTCAGAGACCCTCCGGATGCGAAAAGGACAGAAGACAAAGATCCGTGATTTTCTTGTCGGTTTGGGGGCGATGCTGGCCTTTTGGGGGGGGTTCTTGGGGTGCTCCGAGAGCACTTGGAGCCGCGTCGTGGCCGTCTTGGGGTTCTTTGCAGGTTCGCCAGAGGCTATTATGAACCATCTCCCGCTATCTTGACACATCTTGATAACGAACGAACAACACGCACCCATACCCATTGGTGGGACGGAGGGGGCTATGGGTGCGTGTTGTCGGATGGGGGTCCCCGCTCGAAAGGAAGCACCCCCCAGGATCCGACAACCCGCACCCATACCCATAGCCAGTCCTCCTCCCAACATTCCCCCTATGGGTATGGGTGTGTGTTGCTCGTTCGTCATCTTGAAGGCCATCTTGGGGCGTCGGCGCCGAGTCTCGGCGTGGGCAGGGGCTGCCAGCGACCACCATCGGAGGCCGGTGCAGACGCCGGCCAGGTGCGCGACGCGAGCGAGGTGCGCCGCGCGTTCGTCCCCCGTCGAGTCACAGTGCAAGGTGATCGCGGGGCGCCCGCGCGCGGTCCAAGACTGCACCGCAGCGTGCACTTCGCACTGGTTTTGCTGACAGGGGTGGTTGGCCTGCACGCGTGGGGCAATGTGCGCAGGCACTCCCTCTCAGCCTTGATCGTGGGGCGCCCGAACAGGATACAGATGTTGCCGCAAAGTGCGTGGCGGATTCCCAGAGATCCAGCGCATTGAAAAAATCAAGAGGGAGGTTTTTCGCCATTTTCGGCCTCCCGAGGCCCTCGCCGGGCCTCGGGAGCGTCAAACATCGACTCAGGACGTCAAGCCGGTCCTGGGGAATGGGTCGAGACTTCTGGGGACCCCGCATTGAAAAAAACACGATGTCGGATCTCTGGGTTGTTCGCTTGACAGGGATGTTGCACGGGATGTGGTTGGCATCAGCCCTGGTCAGGGGCCGGCAGAGTGGGGGAGGGGGCGCATAGTAATCAGAAGTAGTGAGCAGCCTTGCCCAGAACACGGGAAGAAGGGATCTTGGAAAAGAGCAGCAGGAATCGTTATACCACCTGCGCCCAAAGGGCTGGTGGGACTGGTGGGAAAATAATAGTATAAGGAGGAAGAGGAGTAAAAGTAGTGGAGGAAGGAAAAGCTGAGGAGACGAAGGAAGATGAGAGAAGAGGTAGCGTGGAAATCAGGAGAAGACCCCCCCTCCACCAGCCTTATCCTGCCCTCCTCAAGCTCATCCTCCCCCGTCCCCCCTTCTCCACAATCTATTCCTCCATTTCCTTGTTCGTACAACGAGCTCCTCCCTGTCGCACCCCCAGACGAGACCTGCCGATAGGGCCAGCCGGGCGTTTCGCCTGAGGCTTCTTCACCATGTATGATCTTGAAGCTTGAAATTCGCAACTACTACAAGGACGGAGGGGGTCCTCCTCCTCCTCCTCCTCCTCCTCCTGCTCCTCCTCCTCCTCTTCCTCCTCCTCCTCCTCTAGCGCACTCTATATCAAGTCTGCAACAGCTTCACGGATGGATGGCGGGTGGTTTTCGAAGTGCGGTTCTCGCCGTAGCGCCGAGCTCATTCGCGTTAGAAGTAGAAGAGCTTCAAGGAATCGAGGGCGGATCTTTTTCAAGATAGCGCTCTCGCTTTTGCGCGATGTTCGACTGAGACTTTGATTACTTTTGAAGACCAGAAATCTCCGCATGCGTGATTTCTGCACGAGTGGAGGGCGAATATGTTGCAAACTGGGGCTCTTGCTTGAGACATCCTCGACAGCCAGAAGTGTAATCTCGAGCAACACTTACACAGATAGGGGTGGCCTGTTTTCCGAAACAGTGATCTCGCTGGACGCCTCGTTGAATTGTACGATCATACACTTCCGCAGTCCCCATCACTCGCTAGAAGGATGCAAGGCAGTTCCAGTTCAAAACGGTGCTCTGGCCTGAATGGCAGACCCATGTGGCGCTGGTCTTTCAAGGGGTCGCTTCTTGTAGCGGAAGTGCATGCCTGCAGGGATTTCTGAAGAGGGGATTTGGGGCAGGAGGGTGAATTGCAGAATCGTTGATGCATCTTGGGGTTCCTCTGGCCCTCCTCCTTCTGCTTGTATTCATCTTCCTCCTCCCCCACTCCTCCTACTCCTCATCTTCCGTGGCTTTACTGTGGTCCTTCCCCAGCGACGACGGCGACGACGACGGCGACGACGACGCCCGTTCAGGCCAACGTGGCCTTGACGAGGAAGGACGCGGGCGGCGGCGGCAAGGGCGCCTCAGCGCAAGCCGCGGCGGCGCTCAGCGCGAAGCGATGGGTGGCAGCGGGCCCCGAGGGGGGAGCGGGAGGATAGAGTGTTGAGGATGGAGGAAGGAGGAGGAGCAGGAGGTGGAGGAGGAGGAGGAGAAGGAGGAGGAGGTGGAGGTGGAGGAGGAGGAGGAGGAGGAGGAGGAGGGAGGAGGAGGAGGAGGAGGAGACTGGAGAGTAGGAGAAGGGGAGGATGAGGAGGAGAAGGAGGAGGAGAAGGAAAAGAAGGATTCATGTGAGGGCTGTCGGTAAGAATTGCGCCGCAATATCCAAGGAGGAGGAGGAAGAGGAATATCAATGAGAGTCGGAAGGGGAAGGCGAACAGATGGAGGGGTCCTCCTCATCCTCCCTCCGTCCGCCTCCTCCTCCTCGTCCTCGCCCTCCTCCTGGCCGGAGGCTCTCTTGTGTTTTCGATGGGCCGCCCGAGGTTTCCGTGAGCTCTCGGAGCTTCCAGACGGCCGGGGAGGGCGCATGGGGAGGGGCGGGGAAGGGAGGGGAGGGGAGGGACGGGAAGGGAGGAGGGAGGGAGTGAGGACCAGAGAGCGAGCTAGAAGGCAGGGCGGGCGCGAGGGACTGGATGGAGGAGGGAAAGAAGGCTGAAGGAAGGAGGGAGGAAGGAAGGGAGCAGGAGAGTAGGAGAAGGGAAGGGAGGGGAAAGGGAGGCAAAAAGGAAGGAAGGAAGGAAGGGGGAAGGAAGCAGGGGAGAGGGCTGGAAGGAAGGGTGGAGGATGGTGGGAGTGCGGGAGGCTTAGGGCAAAGGGATGGTTGAGAGGGCAGATGGCCAGGACGGAAAGGACAGAGGGAGAGAGGAGCAGAAGACCGCGCGGGAAAAAACCGACGTCGTCGTCGTTGGCGTCGATTCTCGAGGTTCGAGGGTTTCAGATGTGCAACGATGCGGGCCTTTCGTGGGCTTCTGGGGGCCTCCATGGGGCCACTCCGTGGAGGTCTACGGGCCCTTCTGGGCTTCTGGAGGTCCTCGCGAAGGGCCCCTGTGAAGGGCCTCCATCGGGCAACTCCGTGGAGGGCCTCCTGCTGTGGGCCCTGCGTGGGCTTCTGGAGGTCTGCAGAGACCTCCGAGCGCCCTCCAGAGGCAGCCGAAGCTCGGGCCAGCCACGGGGGCGCGGGGCAGCCGCGCCTCGCGCCCTGCGGCCTGAGCTGCAGAGGTGCCCCGTCGCCAGCGCGGCGGCGCGGGTGCGCAAAGATGGCCGCGCGTCGCGCATCGCGTGGCGCGAAGTGCGACGTTCGGTAGGGCGACGACGAGGACGACGACGGCGACGACGACGACGACGACGGCGGCGACGACGACGACGACGAGGACGACGGCGTTGATGTTGACGAACTGGCTCGTCGTCGTCGGTGGCGACGTGATGCGAAGTCCGCCGGACTTGTAGATCTGCTTCGCCCATTCTCGACCAACCGCACACTCGTTCCTCCGACGGCCGAGTGGCACCGCTCCGGACTGGCAGGAAGCCCATGCGACATCGCATGTGGGCAGTTGCGCTGAGCGAGCGGGCGGGCGCGCGTGTGTGCGTGAGCGCTTACGCTCGATAAGCGCACACACACTCACACACTCTCACACACACCCTCACACACACACACACACACACACACACACACACACACACACACACGCACGCGCACGCACACGCACACGCACACGCACACGCACACGCACACGCACACGCACACGCACACGTACACGCAAACACACACACACACACACACACACACACACACACACACGCGCGCACGCACGCACGCACGCACGCACGCACGCACGCACGCACGCACGCACGCACGCACGCACGCACGCAGGCACACACACACACACACACACACACACACACACACACACACACACACACACACACGCGCGCGCGCGCGCGTGTTGGCGTCGCGGCTCTGCGCGCGGCGACAGGGCGTAGAAGGTTGGAAAACCGAGAGGCGCACGAGTCTAAGCCCGGCAGAAGACTCAGAGACCTTTCAGGGCCTCGCAGCTGCTGGCAGCCATAACCATCCGGGCATGGATGGTGCGGAGGGGCAGTGGGCAGACGAGACGACTCTGAGGTTGAGGACACACACAACGCAAACACACTCTCTGTGAGTGCCCTCGCGTTTGCGCTTTTTCTGTGTTGGCTCGCCGCTGCCGCGGCGACCGTCGCTGTAAAATTCGAGGAGGGGGATTGTGAAGACAAGAAGAAGGAGAAGGAGGAGGAGGAGGAGGAGCAAGAACAGGAGGAGGAAGAGAGAACGGGGCGCGAGAAGGAGGAGCACAAATCGGAGGAAGGGGAGACGAAAGATGAGCATGGAGGAGGAGGAGGAGGAGGAGGAGGAGCAGCAGGAGGAGGAGCAGCAGCAGAAGCAGGAGGTGGACCATAGAGGGGGAGGAGGAGGAGGCGGAGGAGGAGGAGGAAGAGGAGGAGGAGGAGGCGGGAGTGGAGCAACATCGATGAGGAGGAGGAGGAGCGGTAGCCGCCCGCATGGGAGGGGAAGAGGGAGAGTTGGAGGAGGAAGATGACGACGACGAGAACTACCTCCTTCTTCTCCTCACGAGGACTCCCTCCGTCTCCTCCTTCACCTCCTCCTCATCATTCAGGGCGCTCTCCTTCGGGTTGGTAATTCTGGGATCGGAGATGCGCCTCTCCCGTTTGCCCCTCCCGTCTGCACGATTGTGTTTGCCACACGCTCCACCTTTATATTACATTATAGTATATCAGAATGTATGATATTATATCATATTGTATTGTGTTATAAAAGTAGATTATATTATCTGTTATATCTATAAAAACATAGATACACGGACGCCTCTTCTGGAGCCTGTTGGGGGCTGGGCCTCTTGGAGGCCTCTCAGGGGCCTCGTGATCGCCTCCGGAGTGCCTCTTGGAGCCTCCTGGGGGGCCTCTTGGGGCGGAAGGCTCGGATTTTCGGTTCGTGTTCCCTCTCTTGGGTCCCTTTTAGGGCCGTCTGGGGCCTCTTGGGCCGTTTTGGGCGCCCCTTGGGCAGTCTTGGGGCCTTCTTGGGCCGTCTTGGGGTCCTCTTGGAGGCCTCTCGGGGCGATCTTGGGGCGCCCTAGGGCCGTCTTGGAGCGTCGAGAAGCCGAAAAGGCGAGAACGCCAAAAATGCCCAATCACCTAAGGAGGACGCCCTAAATGTGATTTTGGCCTCTTGGGGTCCTCTTGGGAGGCCTCACGGAGGCTTCTTTGGGCATGTACTTGGGGGCCTCTTAGGCCGCCTTGGGAGCAGCTTGCGCGTCTTGGGTCGATCTTTCAGCGACTCGGGGCCCTCTTGGACCATCATGGGGGGCCTCTCGAGGCTCTCTTGAGCCGTCTTGGGGCCATCTCGGGCCCGAAAAAGTCACGCGACAAGATGCGGGGGGAGCCCAGGGGACAAGCGGGAAGCCCCAGGAGGGCACACGGGAAGCCCCAGGAGATTTGAGAGTTCGGAGTCGGGGCCCATTAAAGACTCCTCAGGCGTGGGGATTGAGGCTTAGAGGATTCGGCAAAGGACCTGGGGACACGCCAATTCCGTGCTCAGAGGCACGGCGGTGGCATAGACATACCTACATGTCTATAGTTAGGAAAGAGCGTGTTCTACCGTTGCTGGCGGAAAACCGAGGGGGGGGTCACTACCTGTTCGAACCCCTCCCCCCCCCCTCCGGAAAACCGGGGGGGGTCACTACCGGTTCGAACCCCTCCCCCCCCCCAGTTCATCATGAAAAGGGGGGGGGTCACTACCGGTTCGAACACCCCCCCCCCTTCGAACTCGAAAACCAGGGGGGGTCACTACCGGTTCGAACCCCCCCCCCCTCCTCGAAAACCGAGAGGGGGGTGCGGACAGTGGTGGGGACGGTGGTGGTGGGGACAGTGGTGAGGGGACAGCGGGACAGTGGTGGGGACAGCGGGACAGTGGTGGGGACGGTAGTGGTGGGGACAATGGTGAGGACAATGGTGGGAACAGTGGGGACAGTGGGACAGTGGTGGGGACGGTGGTGGTGGGGACAGTGGTGTGGGGACAGTGGGAATGTGGTGGAAACAGTAGGACAGTGGAGGGTACAGTGGTGGTGGGGACAGTGGTGAAGGCGGTGGCGAGGACGGCGGTGGGACAATGGGACAGAGGTACAGTGGGGACAGTGGTGGGGACAGTGGGGACAGTGGTGGGAACAGTGGGACAGCTCAGTGGGACAGCGGAGGAGTCAGTGGGACAGTGGGGATAGTCGGGCAGTGGTTGGGGCCGTGGAGAAAGTTGGGAGAGTGGAACCGTGGTGGGAACAGTGGTGGGGACAGTGGGGACAGTGCGACAGTGGTGGTGGCACTGGTGGGGACAGTAGGGGCGGTGGTGGAACCAGTGGGGACAGTGGTGGTGAGGACAGTGGTGCTGGGAACAACAGTGGGGGATGTGGTGAGGACGGTGGTAGGGACCGGGAGTCGTTTGCTGGCGGTGAGAGGGGGGGTGGGGAGGGGTTCGAACCGGTGTGACCCCCCCTCAGTTTTCGAGGGGGGGGGGGTCGAACCGGTAGTGACCCCCCCGGTTTTCGAGGGGAGGGGGGGAGGGGGGGGGGGTTAGGGAAGGGGGGGTTTTGCCGGGGGGGGGGGGGGGGGGAGGGGGGAGCAGGGGAGGGGGGGGGAGGGGGGGGGGGGAGACCCCCGGGTTCCGGAGGAAAAGGGCTGCAATTTTCCACAGTAAAGCGGCGGTGGATCACGCTCTCTCATAGTTAGACATAGCAGTATGTGTAGATGTGTGTGTGCACATGTACGTGTACATGTACTTGTACATTTGAATGTGCAGAAACACATACATAGACATGTACATATACAAATACATGTATATACATGTATATATATATACCTATGAATATACACAATTGTACATACATACACATAAATTCCTACATACCTACATAGAGACATATAGACAGGCATGTCTATATACATACGTACACACAAATGCAGACATGAATACATACGTACATGCATAAGTGCATACATGCATGCATGCATATTTGTGTGCATGCATACATACACTCATGCGCACATGCATACATAGATGCATGCACACGCTTATGTATATACACACGTGCGTACAAAAACGTATACAAACCTATACAATCGCATCTGCAATACATAAACTTACAAGCATATGCCTACGCATATACTTGTATATATGTTTAAGCCGGTACGCATGCACATACCTATACACCTACAAAAGTGTATACGCATACGCCAACACATACATATACGCATACATATACAAATACATATGTATACGTATTGAAATACAGCATACATACATACATACAAACAGACATACATACGTGCATGTATGCATGCCTACATGCATACGTTTGCATGCACATATACGTTTACGCATATATATATATATATGTATATATATATATATGTGTATATATATATATATATATATTCAGATGTGTGCATATAAATCTGTATGCGTCCATACCTACGCATACAACTACACATACGTCTTATGGATATGGACGCGTACACGTACATATACTGTTATGTTGATATACAATTGCATCTGCATGTGCACATACATATACGTACACATCTACCTATAAAGTAGACATACACGTATACATATACATATAACTATACATATATATATATAAACACTTGAAAGGTCCCCCTCCCTCCTTCCCCCCTTCTCCTCCCCCTCCTCCTCTTCCTCATCCTCCTCCTCCTCCGCCTCTTCCTCCTCCTCGTAAGAATCGCCCCCCCCCCCCCCCCCCCCCCCCCTGCTCCAGGTGGGCCAGGGTATGGGCGGCGGCGAGGGCGCCAGCTACCAGGACCTCCCGCGGAGCGCGGCGACCACGCCCTCGACGCCTGCCGCGCCTGGCCCGTCGGCACACCTCCTACTCACTGCCCTTTTTCCGAGGGGGGGGGAGGGGGGGGCGCAGAGACAGGGCCTGGATGACGTCTTTCCTCCTCCTTTTCCTCCTCCTCCTCCTCCTCCTCCTCCTCCTCCTCCTCCTCCTCTTCCTCCCCCCCTCCTCCTCCTTCCTCCTTCCTCCTTCTCCTCCTCCTCATCCTTCTCCTCCTCCTCATCCTCCTTCCCCCTCTATCCTCCATTGTAGGCCACGAAGATGGTATCCCCATTCATCGAAAAGCACAACAGACTGGCTGGTGAAGGGAACCACCCATGCCCTAACTGACAGCCGCGGCTATCTTTCTTCTCCTTCGCCGTCCCGTTTTCCTTCTAAAGATTTCTTCGTCGCCGCGCCCCCATACGTGTCGGTAGGGCGGGCCGGGCGTTTCGCTTGATATTGCCACTGGCGATTCTGAAGCTTGACATTTGCCGAAGTTTCAAGGATGGTGGCCGTATGGTTTTCAAAATGTGGTTCTCGATTTAGCGCCGCGCAGAATCGTTTTCAAAGGGTGCAACAGTTTCACGGATAGAGGGCGGGCGGTTTTCAAAATGCGGTTGTCGCCGTAGCACCGCGCACAGCCGTGTTTAAAGCTTGCAGCAGCTTCACGGATGGAGTGCGGGTCGTTTTCAACATGTGGTTATTTCTTCAGCGCCGCGCATATGCGTTTTAGAGAATGCAACCACTTTAAGGATGGATGGCGGGTGGTGGTGTTCAAAATGAGGTTATTGCCTTCAGGTCGCGCGCTTTCATTTCTATAGCTTGCAACCATTGCAAAGACGAAGGACGAAGAGCGGCTCGCATGTTTATGTTGAACGTTTGCGACACTTCCGAGGATTCCCACAATCAAGGTCCCAGGAATTGCATTCTGGCAATACTACAGAATGCCAGAACGCAACAGTCACGTGATTGGCGGTGTTAACGTCTTAGGAAGTGTGTTCTAACACGGTTCAGGATTGTCAGGACGCAATAGACACGTCGATTTGCGACACTGAAGTCCCAGGAATGGTGTTTTAGCACGATTGAGAATTCTCAGACGCGTGTCCTGCGATATGGCATGTGAAGCAATGAAAATGAATTCCTGCTGGGCTCCAGGAAAAGGGAATTTGGAGGGAGGTTTTAATGCAGCATCGCTTGTGCGTCACACTGGTCATCTTCCTCCTCATCGTCCTCGTCCTCCTCCTCACTGCTCCCTCCTCATTCCTTCCTCCTTTCTCTTTACGCCTTCCTCCCCTGTTCATCCTCATCCAGCTCCTCCTCCTCCTCCTCCTCCGGCTCCTCATCCTCCTCCTCTTGGCCTCCAGCTTCAAGCGAAGGAGTGCCTTATCGTGCCGACCTGGTCACCGCCGACCCCGAACCTCATCGAGGAGATGCGCGAGATATCGGCCACGCCCCACCCTTCTCGGCGCGGCTTCCAGATCGAGGCGATGGCTCGGTACCCCGGCTTCTTCTTCAGACCTGGCGTTGCGCTCGCGGACCACTGGAACGGGCCATTTGCAGAGCAGTGGGACCGTGTCGAGAAAACCACACGCACCAGTGCAGCAGAGCGCTGAGCCGTACAGCGTCGCCGCGGTCCCCTGCCTCTCGTGTGCGGGCCGGCTGTTTGGGCCGCCGTCCGCGCTGCTGGCCAAATTGCTGCAGGCCGACAAGCTCCCCCCACACCGCGCCGAACAGCTTCGCAAAGTCCGGCATCCAGGCCATGACGCTCTGGACGCACACCGAAGCCCCGAAGGGCATCGAGACGCTGATGGTTGCTACGATATGGCGCACATCCGCCTCCACCGTCACCGGGTGGCGCATGCCGTATCGCATTCGGAATGACACCGCTTACGCCGAGCTCAGCCTCGTGGACGCGGAGGCTGGCCGCTGGTGCACCAGCTGCTGGGAGGACCCGACATCCATCGTGCAGCGCCTGGCTGGCGTCAACGACTCCACGTTCTTCATCACCGAGAGGGGCTCCCACCTCAAGCCCCCCACTCGCACCATGAGCTCCCTTCCTCGTGCGCGTGGCGCGCTTCTTGCTGCACACAGGTACGCCGCTCGCAGAGGCACGATGGCCGTCCCCGGCCGCCACGAGAGCGAGACGGGCCACTCCAAGGTACAGCCTCAGCGCGCGCCGCAGCAGGTCTGCATCCTCGCCCTGCATGAGCGCCTGCACCGCGGCACGATGCACACATCACCATCCGCCAGCGCTTGCCTGCTGCATTCCCGACGCTGATCCCCCTCAGCCAGCTCATCAGGAGCCCCCCCGCATTTTCTACACCTCTAACTACTTTCTCGGCCTCCGGCCGAGGGCCATCACGGCACAGGCACCGTGTCGCCATCAACCACAACAAGGCCGCCCAACCCTGAACTCGCACGTGCCGAAGAAGATCTGGACCGACTCCTCCGCCGCGCTGGTGCGCGGGCCGCCCGCTGGAGCCCCGACGCATCCTTGGAAGATCGCGACATCAACAGTGACGCTGGCTGGATGATCTGGCGCGTCGAGTATTTGGACAGCGTGATTGTGAGGGAAACCTTCCACCCGTTGCACAAGTCCCTCCAGCAGCGGCGCCGTACCGCCGTGGAGATGCGCGGGCCGTCCTGGAGCAACGGCATGCTCGGCCGTCGCTTGCTGAAGCTGCGGCGGCTCGGCAACATGGGCACCGATGGCAGCAGGATCCGCGAGCAGGCACTGCTGCGGCGTGAAGACGTTGCCCAGCACCGTGCCCGACGCCGCTGGGCCCCTGGACAGCAGGTGGCCGATCCCGCGCCCCCACCCAGGGGCTCCCTGACGAGATGGGGGACAAGGACGAGGACGCCGACGACTCCGAGCTCATGGACCTACTGAGCCTGGAGGCCATCCCTGAAGACCTGGAGGCGTGGTGGCTTCGCCTGCGCACCTGCCTCGCCACGCGTCAGCCCGCCTGCGTCTGGGCCGCCCTGAGATGCTCGTGGCCGGGCGCCCCGAGCCTGCCACTTCGGGTGCCCGGCGGACGACGACATCCAGCACTACATGTTATGCCCGCGACTCTGGCACTAGCTGGGCCTCCCGAGGGGCCAGCTGAGCGCGGCGCTGCTGGCGCGCATCGGGATGCCTCCCGTGGACGCCAAGTTCGAAGGCGAAAACGGGATCCCGAGCGCGGTGGCGCGAATGGAGGCCGCCACCCGCCCAGGACCACCACACGAAGGACGGCGTCGTGCCGCCCACCGACCACACGCAGAACGAGGCCGTGGCTGCCGCCCGCCCCGCCCTGAGGCTCCTGCCAGACCTCGCGGCGTGCGGCCGCGGCGCGCTTAATCGAAGGTTGGCGCTCCCAGTGGCGTCGTTCGCTCCTCCTCCTCCTCCTCCTCCTCCTCCTCCCTCCCTCCCTCCCTCCCGCCCGCCCGCCCGCCCGCCCGCCCTCCCTCCCTCCCTCCCTCCCTCCCTCCCTCCTCCCTCCTCCCTCCCTCTCCCTCCCGCCTTCCCTCCTCCCTCCTCTCTCCTCCCTCCTCCCGTCTACCGCCTCCGTCCTCCCTCCTCCCTCCTCCTTCTTCCTCCCTCTCCTCCTCCTCCTCCTCCTCCTCCTCCTCCCTCCTTCCTCGTCATCATCATCATCTCATCATCATCATCATCATCATCATCATCATCATCATCATCATCATCTTCATCCATCATCATCATCTTCCTCCTCACCTCCTCCTCCTCCTCCTCCTCCCTCCTCGTCCTCCTCCTCCTTTCCTCCTCCTCCTCCTCCTCCTCCTCCTCCTCCTTCCTCCTCCTCCTCCTCCCTCCCTCCTCCTCCTCTCCCTCCTCCTCCCTCCCTCCCTCCCTCCCTCCCTCCCTTCCCCCCCCCTCCCCCCTCCCTCTCCCTCCGCCCTCCGCCCCGCCGCCCTCCGCCCTCCCTCCTCCATCCTTCTCCTCTATCCTCCCTCATCCTCCCTCCTCCCTCCCTCCTCCTCCTCCTTCCTCCTCCTCCTATCTCATCCTCCTCCTCTCATCGTCCCCTTCCTCCTTCATCCTCCGTAGCCATTTGGCTCAAGCTTTGGCTCGCGAGGGGCTGTTAGGGTCGCCCCCCCCCCCCCCGCGCGCGCCGAGACCAGCGCTCTCGCCCAGCGCGCCTCCGCAGGAAGCCATGTCGAGTCGCTGCCGATAGGGATGGTGCTCGCCCGTTGCAGGTTCGGCGACCTTCACGTGGAGCTTTTCGGGCACGCGGAGGTCGAGCGCCTCATCGACGGGGTCCTGGCGGCCGTTGCGGGGGGGATGTTACAGAAGAGCATACAGTGCATCCCAGACGGCAAGGAAGTTGACGAAGCGAAGGTTCTAGATTCGATCGGGAAGGAGATCGAGGCCGAAGACCTGGTCGAAGCTGAGCCCCCGTGCTTCGACATCAGATGCGGCGGTTGCAGCATCGGGAAGGACTTCCTCCTCCTCCTCCTCCTCCTCCTCCTCCTCCTCCTCCTCATCCTCCTCATCCTCATCCTCATCCTCATCCTCATCCTTCCCTCCCTCCCTCCCTCCTGCCTGCCTCCCTCCCTCCCTCCCTCATTCCCTCCCTCCCTCCCTCCCTCCATCCCTCCTCCCTCATCCCTCCTCCCCCCTCCCTCTTCCATCCTCCCTCCTCCCCCCTCCCTCCTCCATCCCACTGCCTCCCGCCTCTCTCCTCCCTTTTCCCGCCTTCCGCGTCCGTCCTCTCTCCTCCCTCCCCCTCCTCGTATTCCTCCACTTCCTCCTCCTCCGCCCTCTCCTGCTCCTCCTGATCCTCCTCCTCATTTTCCTCCTCCTCCTCCACCTCATCATCATCAGCAGCATCATCATCATCAGCATCATCATCAGCAGCATCCTATTCCTCCTCTTCTTCCTCCCCCTCCTCATCATCCCCCTCCCTTCCCCTCCTCCTCCTCCTCATCCTCGTCCTCCTGTTCCTCCTCCTCCGTCTCTTCCTCGTCCTCCCTCTCCGCATCAGTATCA